AATATTGAATACAACTTAAGAAGTAAGGAGTAAGACAGTCAAATAGTAAAAATGAATTTTTTTTCTTTAAGCAAAAACCTTTGAAATTTTAATTGTTCGTTGTTTCCTGATTCATAAAACATAATGTGTGTTGAGGCAGTTTTTTCAAGGCCAAGAGCTGAGGGGGTGATTTTTGAAGATGCAATGGGAGTAAGACATTGGGCATTCTTGACAAAAGACTCCAAAAGCGAGGTGATCTTAGCCGCAGGTGCCCTTGGAAGCCCACAATTACTAATGTTAAGTGGTGTTGGGCCTGCTCATAAACTTGAAGCATTGGGCATCAAAGTGGTGATGGACCAGCCCATGGTTGGCCTAGGGATGGTCGATAATCCATTGAACGTTCTGTTAATTCCGTCTCCTTTGCCTGTCGAGCTGTCACTCGTTGCCATTGTGGGCATCACCCGATTTGATATCTATATAGAAGCCTGCAGCGGTGTGAGTTTTGCTCCCACGTGGACTCGAAGGGTTGCTACAGAGTTGGCGTCCATCTTAAATCAGGTTGTTTTTCCCTCTTTTGAAGCTTTGCGGTGCTTGAGTTTAAATTATACTATATATGAGAAATTTATTCACCATAAATGAATCCCTAACACTGTAACTCTGGTGGTATGTGTAGACTGAGGAGAGCTCTATGAGTATATTTCAGGAAGCAATAGCTAACTCTCGCTCCTTCCTTAACACAAGAATAAAAGGTGGCATTGTTTTTGAGAAAGTGAAAAACCCAATGTCGAGAGGCCATCTTGAGCTTCGAAGTACGAATCCTCATGACAACCCCAAGGTCACCTTTAACTACTTCCAGGCACCAGAGGACTTGAGGAAGTGTGTGCAAGGCATGAAAACTGTAATAAATGCTATAAATTCCGAAGCATTCTCAAATTTCCGTTATAAAATTTTATCAACAGAGGCTCTGCTAAACCTGATAGTAAGGCTGCCCCTTAACCTGAGACCAAAACATCTTACTTCAGCATTTTCCTTGGAACAATTCTGCTTCGACACAGTCATGACCATTTGGCATTACCATGGAGGCTGCCTAGTTGGCAGTGTTGTCGATAAGGATTACAAGGTTCATGGTGTGGATGCCCTAAGATTATAGATGGGTCTACATTTACTCGCTCGCCTGGGACTAATCCTCAAGCTACTGTTATGATGCTTGGAAGGTAACAATTGCGCATTAATTTTGCAAAATTTATTATTTTTACTTCCGGTGAAATGCAAAATTTTTATTTGGAATATTGTTGAGGATTATTGGCATAGATAATTGTTTAGAGTAGGAGGTTTCTAATAAACTTATGATATGCAGATATATGGGACTGAGGATTATGCAAGAGAGATATTTCTTGAAGAAGTAGAATAAATACTTGTACACGAGTTCTTTACCAGTGTGTCCTGCTGATTTCTTGGAAAAGGGGACCAAAGGGCCGACTGTTAGCTTCAAAACTAGTAGCAGCTTAGCAGGCAATGAACAGAGTTCTGATGGGCTTGTAGCCGTTGTGGCTCATAAGTTCTTTTCTTTGGTTGTTTTGTTCGGTTAGACGCAAGACTGAAAAAAAAAATATTAGGGAAAGAGTTTAAGACGTATATCTATATAACTTTTTTTAACATTCTATTCGTTCATTGATTATTTATTTAAGTACATAAAAATATTATGCATGACAAAATTTGAGAAGATAATGAAACTTAATGATTTGCATTGACGAAATTAATTTATTAAACATTCATCAACATCTAATAAGATTATCAAACTTTTATAATTTTTTTTTACAACAACACAATATAAAAGTAATTTAAGAAGAACGTGGAGAGAATGTGCAGAGAGTGATTGCAAATTTTTTCTGTTCATGCATCTTCAAAAATTCAAAAAGTCTTATTTATAAATAAAGATATGTCACTTTAGGCAAATATATTATAACCTTTGAATAAATATAATTGTTTGAAATAGATATAATTATTTAAGGGATTTTCTTCCTTTTATTCTTTCATTATTATTGTTGAAAATGTCTAACAATCTCTCACCATTTCCAATATAATTTAAATTTTTTATAATCTTGAAATCAACTATATAAATGAAAGTGTTATCCGATTGAATCTACTTAATAAAAATATATTAAAGTTAATTAAAATTATATGGTAAACTGTATTTCAAATAAGTTATTCTATTCAATTAACTGAATACATCTTACACAATTATTTCAACACTAAATAAATGCATAGTATCCGAGGATACCTTTATTGTTTTGTGTCAGTATTCTTTTTTTATGAGTGTTATTAGAGCTAAGCTCTTAAGCTATTAGAAGCGACTACACTTCGCACTCACATAGATAGACCTAATCAAGAATGCCCTTGTAATTATAGCACTCAAACAAATTTATGTTATAAATCTATTAAAATTATATTACTTATCATTTTCTTATCATTACAAATACCTAGCCCTTTACTTGAAATGGAATATTATATATCATATTTATAGTGCTAGTAACCATATACAGATGATGTACTTTGTCTCATTGAACTCAAGACTTGATGTTATGCCAAGTGTTGATTCGAGGTTCTACCACAAATGACTTTAATTTACGAGCATGAGTCTCATCCTTTTTGAAATCTTATTTTTATGATCTATAGCAAGACTTTTTATCAACAAATCTATTAAGTTTTCACTTGATCTTATAAAAGTTATAGTAATCACTTCATTTGAAATTAATTGTCAAGTATAATTATGTCTCAACCTAAAATACTTAGATTTTTCATTATAAACTTTGTTATATGTCGTTGTTAGAGTTGCTTTACTATCACAATAAATGAACTTGGAGAAATTGGTTTAGGTCACAAAGGCACCAGATATGGTAAGCCACTTAGCCTTTTGACTTTTTAGCTGGCAATAACCAATGTAATAAATTCAACTATTATGGTGAAATTTGTTATATATGTTTGTATTTTAGAACCTTAAGAAATAATGTTGCCATGAAGTATGAAGATCCATCTACCTATAAAAGCATGATCTTCCATACTTGTAATTGAAGTAGCATCCACATATCCTTCTAGTCTGGATGGATACCCATTATAGTAAATGCCATAATTGATTGTTTTATTTATATACTTAAGTGATTTATTTACTATCTTCCAATGTAAGTTATTTGGATTATTTGTATACCTATTTAATTTTTATACAGAAAATGGTATATTCGACCTTTTACATAACATTGCATTCATTGAGCAACCGATCATTCTTTTTGGCCTTTTACACAACATTGCATTCATTAGGCAAGCAATCACTTTTTTGCATATTGTAATTGATTAGCTAATCTACCAGCATTAGGCACTAATTTAATTTGAGGATACGTGGGTGTATATGTTGATATACAATAAGATAAAATTTTTTAAACACTTTTTCCATGTAGGGTGATTGTGATAAAATTATTAACATTTCCATCTTGGAATTTCTTAATTTCTAAAACACCATATGCTATGCTCATATTTTTTAATACAAAATTTTTTGACAAAAATTTCTTTATTTCCTCTGCATAATTCAAATCTGTGTCAAATATATATTAGCATATCATCCATATATAAGTAAATTATAATTTCTTTACTATTTAGAAATTTGTTATATATGCAATTAGCATATTCATTTATTTTATAACCATTAGCTAAAATAATTTTATCAAATTTTTAATGTCATTGTTTTGGTGCTTGTTTAAGCCCACAGTATAGATAAGATAATAGATATGCCAATCTCCACCAACATATAATTAATGTGCACATTATGTAATTTAAATGGGTACACATTATTGAAAGAAATTAAGACCACGCCACTAAGCTATATAGGCTTGGTTTTAACTCTCCTAATTATTCTAACTTCAAGCTATTTAGCTGTATTCTTAATTATTTGGTGTTCACCTTTGTCCTTTGAAGTACAAAAACAATGTAGGAGTGACCACACTACAAGCCAAAAGAGCTTGAAATTTATTTGGAAAGTACAAACGATGTAGGGGTAACCCAACTACAAGCCAAAAAAACTTGAAAATTAATGTTATAAAATACAACTCTCACATTGTTTTCTTTTCATTATCTTTTATTTATATTTAAATTTTCTTCTTACCTAATGTTTCTATAAAAAGGATTAGTTTAAAATTGTGAAAATTAATCAAAAAGCAAAAGAACATTTTGTTTTTATTTATGCTTGAATTGAACTTCCTTTGTAGGTAGGGAAGTTCATAGATATTTTGTAATCGGGTACTCTATATTATCTAATTAGATTAAGTAAGATTAAGACACCTTATAAAATCGATAGTAAAACTTCTACTTGTCACAAGTTGGAGTAGTAATCTTAGGGTACCCATTACCCAAATCCAATTATAAGTATTGATTTTTAATGCTAAGTTTTTGTTTTATGCTATATAATTTTTTATTTATAAATTCTTTAAAATCAATGTAATACTTACTAAAATTTATTAATTGTTCTAAATATGATTTTAAATTTTAATTTATTTATTTGTGAAGTAACTTTAATTTATTAATTTAATTTTCCTAATTAATATACATAAAAATTTATTTTGAATTTATTTTAATTAGATATTTAATGGATAGTGTCTACAATATTCGGATATGAGTTCAAATAAAAATTGAAAAATTTAATTAGATATTTATAGGGTTCGGGTTAAAAATAACTTATATCTTATCTATGGAAAACTCAGAAAGAAATTGTAGAGCGGTTTGGGTTTATTTAAAGGAAAAGAGATTGAATTATTGGTTCAATATTCTACTTGGAAGAGAAAATAACAGGAAAACTATGAGCTTGGGTTCATGGTCCCCCTGGGGTTTTTTGCTCTTGTTCTTGCAGCTGATTTTGCTTTTCAAATTTGAATTCAAATTTGAACTTCAACATATAGATGTTATATCCATGGTTGATTTTCTTATTTATAGTTGAATGAACAAATGGCACAATTTTACATCTGCTCAACTATCCGTTTTTATCTTTACATATATATTACTAATTTGATTACATGATCAAAAGAAATAGAAATTAAGATTATTATTGTTACGAAGATTTTATGGTCATATGATCAAAAGAAACAAAAATTAGTTATTATATATAACAATGGAATTAAAAAATTTCAAAAATAGAATTATTTTCATATATCCATCATGATATACAAAAATTAAATTTTGTATTTTCTCTCATGCAGGACTGTACGAGGTTCATATAGTTTTCAGCCTTTTTTATATTTTTATCTTGTGCAACAGGTTGTGGATAACGGTTGCTTGCAGATGCTTGTACCACTGGGCTTTTAGACCGACATACATTGTAGTTTTAGTATTATTAATGAAATTATATTTTGATTGAGAAAAAAATGATTTATTAACTTTTTAATTATAACCTTAAAAACAGTGACAATTCTTTAACTTCATTTGTAAAATTTAAAAACTTCAGCAATTATTTAGTATAATAACACAAAAAAATTAATCCCAACTGCTTGCAGCTCCATATTACAGTTTTGTCCCAGAATCAACCTCAGCCCCTCAGAGTATCATTCTACGACTACATAATTGTTGGTGGAGGAACCGCTGGCTGTCCCTTGGCTGCAACCCAGTCCGAAAGCGCAAACGTTCTAGTTCTGGAAAGAGGATGGTCTCCCTACGTAAACCCCAGCAAGACAGACCAAGCTAACTTATTCCCTACTCTGTTCGACCTTTCTCCAAATTCATATGCTCAAGCATTCGTTTCCAAGGACGGAGTCTACAACCACCAAGCACGTGTTCTTGGTGGCGGCTCGGTCATTAACGCAGGATTTTACTCGCACGCTGAAACCGACTTCGTGAAGGAAGCTGGTTTGGATGAAGCTTTAGTAAATGATTCTTACCAGTGGATTGAAAAGAAGGTGGTATTCGAGCCACCTGTCCTGCAATGGCAATCCGCAGTGAGGGATG